AGCATATCTCACTTATGAATGTACCGTAGGTCCGTATCGAGTATGAGCATTTGGATATTTCGTTAGGTTCGTTGTGTAATAAAGACAGCACGCGGAAATTGTAATAAAGAGGCACGTAATAATAGCAATAGTAATAAAAAAGTTAGTAATAATAATAATAAATAAAATAGTGATAAAGGAGCTAGTAATAATAGCAATATTAATAAATAAAATAGTGATAAAGAAGCTAGTAATAATAGTAATAGTAATAAATAAAATAGTGATAAAGGATCTAGTGATAATAGTAATAGTAATGACTAAAATAGTGATAAAGCATCTAGTGATAATAGTAATAGTAATAACTAAAATAGTGACAAAGTAGCTAGTAATAATAGTAATAGTAATAAATAAAACAATGATAAAGGAGCTAGTAATAATAGTAATAGTAATAAATAAAATAGTGATAAAGGATCTAGTGATAATAGTAATAGTAATGACTAAAACAGTGATAAAGGAGCTAGTAATAATAGTAATAGTACCAAATAAAATAGTGATAAAGAAGCTAGTAGTAATAGCAATAGTAATAAATAAAGTAGTAATAAAGAAACTAGCGATAATCACACGGTGATCAATTATAACCTACGAGTGGAAATTAGCAACGAAATTATGGGTTTAACCCTTCCACAAGTAGAAATTTGTGTTAGTAATATCGTGCAAGCAATATGGCACAGAACACGCGGTACAAAGAAAATTCCAAGATTGTACGAGTAAAAATTAGGAAATAATTCTCCTATGTTATTTACGATACGTTTGTCGTAGATACGGACCATGGTGGCGCTAGTGAGTTAACGGCGTAAAATCGCCGTAAGGCTCGCGGAAGGGTCAACTCTCCCGTTGAAAATCTTGCGTATGGTTGCGAAAGATAGACACGATATTCGTTGATGTATCACAGACGGAAGTTCACTGGTATCTTTCTGTTGACTTGGAAGATTCTCTTTTTTATTCATATTATTCATTAAAATTGAATAGTGCGAGAAAAAAGGCGGTTTAAAGTACACTTGCTGACGAAAATGGAGAAGAAAAATGACTGTTCATTTCGTGTCGTCTATAGACTAAACTTCTTAGAATCTATTTCTTATTTCGTGTATTACATGTCCAGTTAAATAATATGAATATGAAAAAAGCTTTAAAGGTATTAAAGTTAGAGAATTGGAATAATGATTGATGTATTTTTGTTCCTTCTTTATCATTCGACGTGTATAGACTGAAATTAAAAATGGAATTTATATAAGATTCGAAGAAAAATAAAAAATATAAGAGCAAATTGTTCAGTGACGTATATTTTTAATTTCAATATATGCATTAATTGTGATACATGTAAGAACATAATTTTATAACTTTTGTCGAAAGTGTAACATAACCTTGTCCCTTCGCAATCTTCTTACTTGTGAATATAAATTCTTCAAAAATTCAAATAATTTCTTTAAAAATGAATTTTCCTGTGATACAATATCCTGTTATTATGCACGACTGTAATGAAAGTGGAGAGCAAATTTATTATTTTTATTTGTAATTTTTATTTTTATTTTATTTTAAATTTTAAAGCCATTTTTATTTCATTATTATTCTTTCATAATAATTTTATTATTCTTTCACGATCCTTTGCACAAATCGAAATTCTAAAAGATGTAAATACATAAACGAAGAGTCACGACTATTCGAGAATAATTATTCATCTTTAGGTTTGCATACATCTTTCAAACAGATTTTTAAATATGTAAATTAAGTTTCAATCGTGTGACGATGCATGTAACGTGAATATTAATAAATATTAGTATATATTAAAAGCGAAATCGATTCTACCAAAGGAATCGATTATTTTCGAGATTTTACACCATATCGAGTTCCAAAATGTGTAATAAAGACGCTTTAATGCTCGTGGGCATAAGGAATCTCTTTGATATAAATCTATGAACATAGATTTATATTTGAACGTAGATTATTTAGATTATATTCAGCTCGGTATACTAAGAGCTGAAAAGCAGTTTCAAGCTCACTAGGCTATGGCATTTTCCTCATCTGTCGCTTTGTATGTACATTATTCCATAAGATATGGGTTTGTTGTACTGTTGCAGGTCACTTCTAACAGACACCTCGCAAAATGGTGTCCGACAATGCGATTATTGTCAGAAATGTGAGGAAATCGTATGGCAGTAATGCCATCTTGAACGGCTTGAATATGAACGTGAAAAGAGGCACCATGTGAGTAAAATTTGGACTGCGATACTCAAAATCGTTTTCGTCGAGTGTTTTTTTATATAT